TATCCCTCCACCCCTACACACTGCTCCCCATATACACCCATCCCTCCCTCCATCCCTCCAACCCCTCCATACCTCCCCACACCCCCCCTCTGTCTATGGACCTGAGAGCCCAGGTGGCGGGACTGGCCCCCTGGCCATTTCCCAGAATGCCACGAGCCGTGAGCAACTCACCTGCCTGTTCATGAAGACGTAGATGATGGGGTTGTAGATGGTGGCGCTCTTGGCGAAGTAGGCAGGCAGAGCAGCTGCCAGCGGGTGGAAGGCGTAGCCGGGGTTGGCGGCAGCGAAGCAGGCGAAGAAGGTGTAGGGGCCCCAGCAGAAGATGTAGGCAATGATCATGACCACTACCATGCGTGACACTTCCTTCTCCGCCTTTTGGGTGGACTCCGATTCCTTCTGCTGGGCTGCCACCTGCGGGGGAGAGGACGCCAGGCTTAGAGCACGGCCTGGGGGTTGCCAGCTGCCAACCATGGCAAGCTGGGCCTGTTGTTGGGCCTCATGGGCTGAGGCACGTTGGCTAGGCCAGTGGAATGCTCTAAACTGACACTAAGTTGGGAGGAGTGGGAGATACACTAGAGGGTAGGGATCGGATACAGAGGGACCTAGACAAATTAGAGGATTGGGCCAAAAGAAACCTGATGAGGTTCAACAAGGACAAGAGCAGAGTCCTGCACTTAGGACGGAAGAATCCCAGGCACTGCTACAGACTAGGGACCAAGTGGCTGGGCAGCAGTTCTGCAGAAAAGGACCTAGGGGTCACAGTGGACGAGAAGCTGGATATGAGTCAGCAGTTTGCCCTTGTTGCCAAGAAGGCTAATGGCATTTTGGGCGGTATAAGTAGGGGCATTGCCAGCAGATCGAGCGACGTGATCGTTCCCCTCTATTCCACACTGGTGAGGCCTCATCTGGAGTCCTGTGTCCAGTTTGGGCCCCACACTACAAGAAGGATGTGGACAAATTGGAGAGAGTCCAGCGGAGGGCAACGAAAATGTTTAGGGGGCTGGGGCACATGACTTACGAGGAGAGGCTGAGGGAACTGGGAGTGTTTAGTCTGCAGAAGAGAGGAGTGAGGGGGGATTTGATAGCTGCTTTCAACGACCTGAAGGGGGTTCCAAAGAGGATGGAGCTCGGCTGTTCTCAGGGGTGGCAGATGACAGAACAAGGAGCGATGGTCTCACGTTGCAATGGGGGAGGTCTAGGTTGGTTCACT